CAGTCGTTAGTTGGCCAAATAAGATATGATTTGTGCGGCGTTCACTCACTCTGTCGGTGTCTGCGTCCCTGGGTTCTTCTGCCTCTGTTTTTTGCAACTCGTCCCAGTTCACTTCTTCCTCTTCTTCGTCGTCGGGTGGAAGAGGGCTGATCACCTCGTCGGGTATGCCTATGGGTGAGACTTTCGCAGGTGATACCCTAGACACCAGTTCGCCGACCTCGTCACCCTCCTCGTCCTCGTAGTCCACAAGCTCGTCTTGGAGGGTCTTTGCAGCGTTTGTCACTGGCAAAGGCGTCGTCGGGTCACTTGGTGGTGTGGTATCGCCATCGATCTCGCCCTCGCCTTCGGCTACGTTTGTGGCCCCAACTGGCGCTGTGCTTTCGGGGAAAGGTAGCTTTTCGATGCGAACAGTACTAGGTCTCCTCCTCGGCGGCGAGCCGGGGCCAACGTTGGTGTCTATAGACAAGATAGGCGGTTCAGAGAGCCTGACGGTTACCATGGAATCGTGGGCCTCCATTTTGGGTGTCGTTTCCCGGGGGTCGATGTCGTCGGCGGCTGCGGGAGCGGGTCTCGATTCGGGTTTGGCATGCGTCAACTCGGTGTTGTTTTCGACTTCATCGCTTCGTTGCTGCAGCGCCGGCTCCATTGGCCAGGCCTACTATGCCTCGGCGGGTATACTTCTTAGTATTTTTGGTGTTTGGCCAGGGATCAGAGATGTCGACTGGAATGTGGACTCGCAAGCGAAGGGGCGGGCCCAGCAGTCAGTTGGTGGTCGGTAGGAGGGTCAACGAATGTACGGTCGCGGACCAGTGCCTGGCGCGGTCATAAAACGCAGACCAATCTCGCTGAACGAGACGGAGAATTCGAAGTTCGTGGAGTTGGAGTAGGGGTTTGTTGTGTTTGCCCGGCGGGAGTTCGGGAGTCGGGTCAGTCGAGTCCCTCTCGAATCGGGTGCCCAATGAATGTGCCGAGAAGGGAGTGCGAGCCTCAAAGCCAGGAGACAGAGACACACAAGACCACAAGCAATGCGGATCCCGGATGTGCACAAGGTTGGTGGCAGTAGGAATTGGGGCAGTAACACGACAGCCAGCAACGCAGCGGGTAGCTGACTGAGTGTGTGTGTGTGTGTGTGTGTGTGTGTGTGTGTGTGTGTGTGTGTGTGTTGTGCGTGACGAAGTGGTAGCAAGAGTGACCGACTGGCTCGGACGACTTGTGGACTTTTTTGGTGGCTGGCTCTCCCCGAAATATCTCGTCCAACGGTTTCCTGGTAATAAAGAAAAGCAAGGGGGCCTTCTGTGGGCAATTAACGACAAGGCAAAGCAATGGAAAGGGAATACAGAATCCACAATCCACACTCACACACGCGCGCGGTCTCTCACAGAAGCTCTCCTGGGAAGGGAAGAGGAGGAAACCTAAGGCGACATCCGGCGGCTCAAGGTGACAGGAGGGAGAGAAAGGCAGTCTTGGGACAAAACAATGACTGGGACTGGGACTCGGGAGGAATGAGAAAAGAGGGTTTGGCTGGACGGCAGCAGAGGGGATTGGCCTGTCAGGCGCGACGGGTGATGTGAGTGCTGCTCTGGTTTTGTCGTTTCATCGAGGGGCCAAGGACGCTGAAACGCTGGGGGGGATGACTGGTGGTCCCAGTATGAAGGGTGAGTGGGCTGGATTTGCCGTAGTACAGGCGGTTCCAGCAGTTGCAACCTAGAATGAGTGTATGGGGCCGTTCTCCGTTGCCTCCAGGCATCTCCTTATTGCTGTGTACAGCACTTTTTTCCGCGTGCTCGGGGTGGAAGGCAAGGGCATCGGTTTGGACCTCAGGACCTGTCTCGCTCGTGACGTCCCGTCTGGCCTGCCTGGTTGGAGACTTGCAACGCAGCATCCACACCGGTGGAAGGCCTAAGATAGGATGCCTAACTTCCTAGCGCAGGTAGACCGTATTATTCGTGGACGGGCCTTAAGGTAGGAACGCCAGCGAGGTAATAGGTTGGTGAGTACTGCGATTTAGCCAAGACTACCGCGGTGGTGCGTTCCTCTTCCCGTCCCTGTTCTGGCCGCCGATCGGTGTGGTGGGCAAAAATAAAATCAAAAAGAGTGCGGGATGTGCACAGGGGCCGGAGGGTGAGAAGAGGGGGGGGGGGGGGGGGGATGATCAGATGAGATGGGGTTGCTCTGGCACTGGGGATTTGCGATTCTCGACTGGTCTGGAATGAATTTGTAGAACTAAGCGGTCAAGGTCTGCCAAGTATGGTTGCTCTTCAGAGACACGTCCAAGTCGACACCCCCCTATGTCATTCCAGCGTGATTCTTCCTCCCCGACTTCAGTGTTTGTGATGGCGATGGGAGAGGAGACGCCGAAAGCAGCAGGTGATGATATTTTGCATCTACGCATTTCTACGCATTATGTCCAACCATTCATTACTTCCACGGCTGATTACTGCGTCAATTAATATGATGGGATGGATGCCCAGGACGGAGCAGAGGATGACAACATTTCATGGGCCCAAAGGAGGGGGATGGGGGCTTCAATTTCCCAGGGGCAAACAGCAGCCAGAATAGAACGCGCCCATTCGTCACTTGGCTGTGTGTGATATTGACCTTCCAAGTTCTTACTGAGTGCCTACCGCCAGAAATCCCCTGTAATTCTGTAATTCTTTTTCCAGGTTGCCGGCAACTTTGCTTGCACCTGACGCGTCCGCGTCGACATCCCCTATTTCTGGCATCAACCAACGGCGTTGCCACTGTTTATCTTTAACCACACTTGTATCCAATGACCGATGGATGATCCGCCCGCCCCGGCTGGATTCGATGACCGCGCCGCTCTCACCTCACCCACCCACCCACCTGCACTGCTCCTGCACCTGCACCTCCTGCACCATCCACCGGCACCGCAGAAGATGGGGGCGGCGGGAAAAGCTTGGGATGAGCAAGCTACTTTCTGCAAGGCACAGGACCGCTAGTGCGCCAACGACACCCGCGAAACCCTCCAATGTGCCAATCACGTCGCCGTCTAGCCCTGCACCGAACAAGCTTCCGCATCTGCACGACCCCGTGGCCGCCGCCAACCAGCGGTCCAGCTCAACGACCGGACGCCAAAATCCCCCCCCCCCCCCGGGCGCTGTATTGAAATTGCTTGCCTCGTAGTGTCTCCATATCCACCAGTCAATGTCAATTGTGTGCATGTTTTTTTTCCCCCTCTTGTGCAAAATCTCCCAGAGCTCGCTTCCTGCTCCTTGCCATTTGCCGGGTATTACCGAGGACCCAGCCTGGGGTCAAGCAAACGGCAAAAACTCCACAACTGAGCCGCTCAACGGCGGGGAGACACATGAGGATCGGGCTGACGGCCTGGTAACAAGACATCATCAGCCGTCTCAGATCTGTTGTGCAGATCTTGGTTCGCCATCATTCATCCTCCCCCCCCCCAAAATCGCTTGCAGTACCTTCCTATCGGACAAGCCCAAACTCTCCCAACGCCAGCTGTTATAAAGATAGACAGGGGGCGGCGTCGTGCTCACGGCCCACTAGGCTTTAAACACACAGACGTTTTCCCTTCTGTCCGGGTCGGGTAGTCGAGGACGCGAGTCCAACCACATATCGCCTCCCGGGAGATGAGACTTCTCTGCTGCTTGTTGTTTCTCACCACAGGTACGCCCTCGTAATCCGAGCCTCTTTCAGGCCCCTTCCAGAGCATGTTCAGCTCTGTCCTGAAGCTTCCGTCATCAACATGGGCATTCGGTATCTACGTACCTAGATGGAAGTGCACCCTACATGCAGGCAGGTTGTGGCATGCATATCAGAACCAAGCTTCCATCCTACCTTACCTTCCCCACGTCTTGGTCCGATATTCTGGTTGTCGCCATGCATACACGGCACGGTCGTAGCTGAAGCCGTCCGGGTGTCGGCTTCTCCCGGCTCGGACACTGACAGCCAGGCAGACTAGCATAGGAAACTCCTTCGCTCCCAAGCTCCTCCCTGACCTTTGTCTCCAGTTTCAATACTAACAAATTGGTTGCCAACGAAACAACTGATTAAACAAAGTCACACCACAAGCACACACAAGTAATGCACCAAAGTGCTGCGTTTACCCCAACTAGAATTCAATTCTCCAAGGTATATAACAAAACACACCACACCACACTACAACACCATCAATGTTTCCAATTCTATACAACCGTGTTCAGTAGGGCTATAAGGAGTCCGCCACACACTGCCTCCAGTCACAGTTGTTTACCCCTTCATCCGTAGAGATGGAGCCAAAACCCCGGGTACCATTCGTTGCACATCCCGGTGGTTATCATTTGATTTGTGCTTTCTGGGGGCGTCCTGGACCCCTTCTTTGTGTAATTGGTGCAATGCCATTACCAGAAGAGAGTTGGCCCTGTTGCTTTGTTGATCCGGTTGCACAGCGCTTTTGTCTTCGCACCCCACTCGCCGTGTCAAGAGGTTTCACAGATGCGTATCCACGGTGACCTTGGTCCAGTTCAACTCCAACTTGTGCACACGGCTTGGAAGAAATCGGGTAAGCTTGGTATGTAGTGCCAGTCTGGTTGCAGTCCGGCAGTATCCCTACTCTCTGGAATGACCTGCATAGGATATGGGCCTTGCATCGTTGTTTGAGGTGCAGTATCGTCCCCAGCTCTCGTGTAGCTTGCAATGTGTTGTTGCTGGTCCTAGGTTTGTGGCCACAGAGAGGGGGTATCTGTTGCTTGGATTTCGAATCCACTGAACCATTTTTTAATGACCCAGTTGGCGCCATTGGCATTGTCGGCAATCTGCACGTCACGAGCAGGAGAGGGTGTTGGCCCCACAAGACCACCCGGCTCCTGTGGTTCTGGAATATATACATAGTCCTGTATCGGGTTTTGGCCCGGCGCATCGTACGGAGAAAGGCTACCAAGACAGTCCTGCTAGGCCGGGACCATTACGCCAAGTAGATGCGCATCGGCACCTTGCGCGTCGTTCAAAGGGTCCATATGACTTCCAACAAGGAATTGATCTTCCTAGGATGGCACCATTCCATGGGGTTGATGTGACCCCGGCATATTCTGCATTTGCATCGGACGCTGAGCCTGGGCCATACCGGGGCTAGCTTGATGGCTCGATGGTCGCTGGCCTTGTGCTATGCCTTGTTGGCCAGGGTGCTGGCCTTGCGGGCGGGCCGGCGTCTGGAATGCCGGCTCCTTCTTTGGGTCAACGTTGGGAAAGAGGGCTTGCAGCTTGTTGTAAAGCTCGGTGAGGTAGCTAGACCTTTCTTGGCGGTCCGTAGTCGGGTCCGGATTGTTTTCCGCCACGTCCCCAGGCGGAGTTTGTAGACGGACTTTCAGCGTCATGTTCAACGGCGGGGAGGAAAGGTAAGCCGGCGACGGCGGTACTTGGACATTGCCTTTCCTATCTGCCAAAGCAGCCAAATATGCCAGGTTCGCTTGAAGTCGTCGCATACAACTAAACACGACGTCAGCTTTGGAAACCATTGAAGGATCCTGTCGCTTTGAAACTCACTGGCTGTAATCCTGTTGGACTGCGGTTTCCTCTTGCGAGGGCTTCCTCGCTGGGTCACCCTCTCCTGTTGGCGCAGCTTCCTTCTTCAACTCGGTCAAAGTGTGTTGTAGTTGCATTGACTCGTACAGCAGTTCTTGGTTGATCTCAAGCAGCAGTGAAAATCGTTCCTGTTCCCGTGATTCGCTGCCAGGGCTCAGGGGCGTAGACACCGTGGAGGTGCCATTGACCGTCGCATTCTGGTTGTGTGGGGGAAAGGTCGGGGTTTGGGGGGTGGTAATAGAGGCCGCGAGTTGCTGCTGCTGAGGTGCTGTCGTTGCCGGCGGCTGGCCGTGCGACGGGGCCTGTGGAGTTGGGAATTGAGATTGCTGCTGCTGCTGTTGGTGTTGTTGTTGTTGCTGTTGCGCCTGTTGCTGTTGCTGTTGCTGCTGACCAGGTTGTTGTTGCTGCTGAGGCGGCTGATGAGGTGGTTGCTGGGATTGTTGAGGTTGGCCTTGCTGTGGATGTTGCTGCTGGGGCTGGCCCTGCTGCTGCTGTTGGGGATGTTGCGGGTGCTGTTGCTGGGCGTGCTGTTGATGTTGTTGCTGCTGTTGATGTTGTTGCTGCTGTTGATGGTGTTGCTGCTGCTGTTGCTGATGCTGCTGATGCTGCATAGCACTGTTTGGTGACCCGTGACCCCCTTGCGCCGCGCTCATCGGTCTTTGTGGTGTCGATCCCAACGGCATCCCACCAGCGTTTGCCTGCCCTTGTTGTTGCTGTTGCTGTTGCTGTTGTGCTTGCTGTTGCGCCTGCATACGCTGCTGCTGTTGCTGCATCATGATCTGCTGCTGCTGCTGAGGCGTCATGGCCGCGTTCATCGGGAAGCCCTGCATTCCTCCAAAGTTGGGATGTTGGCCGCCCGGCGCGGGCATGTTACCACCGTAGGGATTGCCCTGATACGGGTTTTGAAAGGCCACTGGCAAAGACATTGAGGTTAGCGAACGCGTGTTTCCGTGTTCAGATGATCAAGAGGCACTGCGACTGCGCGTTGACGACGTGTTCTTCCGATGCTGCGGGTGCTGGTGGTGATGGTGATGGTGATGTCGATGGGGTCCAGCCTGAACAGCCTTGCCGATGACATCTCGCCACGACGGCCGACACGGACCCCGTGAGGAGGCACATGCGGCTTCAGGCAGCGTCATCAGGCGCAACGCATATACGAAAGTCTGCTGGGCGGGTTGGGCGTACAGAGGGAGAGACAGGACAAGGGAGGGGAGAGCTTACTCTGACCATTGGCGGCCATGTGCGGCATGCCGGCGTTCTGCATCATGCCTGCAGGACCAGCGCCAGACATCATCGCAGGATTGGGGCCTCCGACAAAGCCTGGCTGGCCACCAGACATGCCAGCGAATTGGTTGGGGTTGTACATCATCTGCTGGCCTGGCTGAGTAGGGCCAGAGCCTTGCTGCATATGAGGGTTCTGATTTGGAGGTGGGGCGGCGTTGTTGAAGGTCGGAGGGACATTGGAGACCTGAAAGCCGTAGCCGGGAGCGTACATGGCTGGGACGGGATGATGGGATGGGCGCGGAGCTATTATTATTATTATGGTTTGGGGGGGGGAGGGGATGGGGCTTGACGCGACGTGCCTGCCTAGGGGAACAGGTCGGGCTAGGGTGCTGCGATAAGCGTTGAGGTAGCAATAAACTCAGACTCCAGGCTCTGTCTGGTCTGGCAAGTCAGACACGAGCTGGTTTCCTGGCCGGCTGACTGGCTGATGGATTGACTTGCTGGTCGGGGCTGGGCTAAGCTGGGCGGAAGAAGTGAAGGAGGACGCGGCACGGTTGGCGGCGGCCGCAGCGGGCGACGTTTCGAGGTGTCGGCCGCAACAAGAGAGCGGCGCGGCGGGAGGAGTGCGTGGAGCGAGGAGAAGAGGTCCTGGCCTGTCCGGGCCGCAGGTCGACCTGGCTGGTCGGTTGACTGGCTGGTTTGCTGCTGCTCGACGTGTGTGATGAGCGGTGGAGAGCAGGGGTGCCACCGGTGCATCAACGGTTAAGCTTGGGCGATCTCTCAGATAGACAAAGTGACAGGCCGACAACCGGCAGCTTGGCCCAGTAAGAGAGCGATTCGACAAGCCGGCAACAAGTATTGTGTATTAAGGTACAACCATGCATACGACACGGATCCAGCTGTCCCTTCAATGCTCTCGGGGGTGCCTGGCTGGATGGTATGGCGCGTGGGCGTGCCTGGGATAGGGCTGGCGCTGTTTGTCTCGGCTTCTCTGCCGTAGGTTCTCCTCTGTCTGTAGATACTCTTGCGACTTCAAGGTGCGCAAAGAACGACAGAAAGGTGCACGGGGGTGTGAGATGGCAAACTGGGGAAGAAGAGGGCTGAGAGATGGGTACGGTGAGTAGGGATGGGGTGCCAGGAGACGGTAGTGACGTGGATGGATGGACGGGGCGCCAGATGGAATAGTTGCTGGTGAGAGATGAGGCGCAACGAGAAATAGAGATTGCCGATAATGGTTTGCGCTCTGTGTAATGGAACCGCGTCCGATGGATGGCCCGGCACGCGAACCCAGTGAGACACGACTAGAACAGGCAGTCGAGAACGGACAGTTTCTGGGTTGGGCGGGTTGATGCTTGATTCAGTGCCAATGCCGAGCTTGATCAGGCCGGGCAGTCAAGGTACCAAGGGGGAAAGTACCCTCGACGGGATGCGAGAAGGAGTGACGAGGGAATCAAAGGCAGATCCGTCGTCTTGGTGCAGGTGACGGTGCGCGTGGAGCAGCAAGCGGAGAATAGGTAAGGTAAGGTAGAATGGCGGACAACCGTGGAGGAGGTGCGGTGAGCAATGGCTTCGGTGGCGGCGTCGGTGAGGTGCGGCGTGGTCGCGGGCCGGACGTCCCTGATTGCCCTGCTGCAGAAACGACCTAAGCGTCCACGTATGGGATTGGTATGTGAGACAAGGCAGCGCGTGTGTGATGGGTGTGTGGTTGATTGATTGACTGCGCGCGCAAGAGGCAGACCGGTAGCAGAGAAGAGGTGTGTGTGGTATGTGTGTGTGTGTGTCCATCAGGCATTCGCGGCAGGAAAAGAACGCAGAAACGAAATTTTTTTTGGCTTTGGTTTTCTTTCCCCCCTGTGAGTCGTCTGGGAAGGGGCCACAGGTCTGAGAGTGTGGACACTTGGCCGGCTGAGGCAGGATTCGAAGTGGGGCTGCGTCCGAGGCTAAACAAGGGGAGGCACCGGCAGTGGAGGCTAACCTGGACAGCCGAGGCGTCGCTGACTGGTCTGAAGACATCCGCACCCAACCAGGGGGGTGCCTGCAGCCATCCAGGGTCAGGTACGCAGTACACCTGTCACCACGCAGAGAGCGGTCTTGGAGAGCACTTCATTAAACACTATTCTCACAGCTGAATGATCATTTGTACGTATACAATAAGCATTGATCCAGGGTTCTTCTGGTCGAGCACCAAGACCTTCATCAGCAGAAGTCGACTGGACCTGCCCGTGTGTCTCCAGCTACTAACTCCTAAGCCGCATATGTCGTACCGTATGTCGAGTTCCCGAAGACAACATCAACGAAATGCTGGGCTATAATCTCGTCTGCAACAAACCACCCACGTCAGCCGAGAGACGAGAACCAAGACCAACATGAACAAATGCTTACCTGCGCGCTCCGAAGGGTGCAGCTCGTCGTACCACAAGAACCCCGCCATTGGTTCCGAAGAGTCGACGCACTCGCGCGTAACCGGATCGCAGACCCTGTATGTTCCCGTCACGTTCGCCGGCGGAGGCAGGTACTTGGATGGTTCCGCGTGGATGTCTCGCAGCAGACTGTGGACGTCGAAGATGGAAAAGCTCGCTCCGGGCCACCTCTTCTTGACGAGCAGGTGGAATGCCGCCCCGTAGTCAAACATGGTGTTGGCATTCGTGGTGTACTCGAGCATTTTGTACTGGTATTCCGTCGTGTTGTAAAGCGTCTTGTTCGGCCAGAACTGGCTGTCTCCAAAGCCTCCACCTTCCACTGCTGCGTACAAAGGAGACTCCTCCAGAGGTGCCAGGTTCAGGAGGACGAAGTGACGGCCTCCCGTCTCGTAAATGTTGTCAAACACCTCCCAGATGCAGTCCACATACGTGGAAATGGTCGTTCCGGGAGCCTGCGAGTCCGTCAGGAAGGCACCATAACCCAGGTCGTTCGTTCCGATCCACAACGCGTAGACCGTGTTGTTCGCCTGCCTGTTGGGGTACAGAGATTCGAATGCGATGTCAGCCTTATAAGCCGGTATCTCGTAGTCCATCACTGAGGGAAACGGCTGGTTGATGGTAGCGAATTCTCGTGAGATTATCTCGTTAGAACAGGTAGCTCCAGCCACGGCATAGTTGTTGTAGTTCGCGTTTGTGGCCTTGGCGACGAAACGACCCCAGGCATATCCGCCGCTCGCTGTCGAGTTGGATTCTCCAAGTCGAAGTCCCGGGGGCGGAGCGCTGCCGTTGTTCCTAGCGAAGTAGCTTAGGCGCATCTCGTCAGTGTAGCTGTCGCCAAATGTTACCAAGTTCTCCAGCTTCTTCAGTCCGCACTGCAAGGCCGCGGCCGCCGCTGCCGCAGAGACAAGGGCTGCGATTGAGAAAAACTGCATGGTCGCTGTCGATTGGATGGTACCAAACACGAGACGACTTGAAGGGCCGCTGTGATTACCACGAGATGGTGGGAAGCTCGGAGGATGAGGCAACGGCTACATCTCCACGTTTGCAGATGGGCACCGTCTTCATATACGATTCCCGACAATTCTGTTCGACTGCGTCATGGCAATCAACTGGGCCGTTAGTCCGGCAGAACGGAAATGGGGTGCAGACCGATGGAGAGACGGGCAGAGAAGCGCCGCCTATGAAGTGGGTTAGATCATGTCTGGGACCCTGCAATCCACGCCTGTCTCCGCGTGCCAGGATCCAACGACGAACGATAGCTGCAGCTTTTTGTCAAAAAGATGATGGCTCCTGCAAGTTCCCCAGATCTGACCAGGGTCATAATGGGAATAAGTGAGGGGTAATTGGAGTCTTGGATGCGCTCGCAAGCAATCTGCCCGAGAGCTCCATGGACGTCACATCAAGAAGCACTAGCTTGTCATGGATGGGGAGGTCGGCAGAGGCTTCGATTCGCGCCGGTGAGAGTGGAGGGGAAATATGACTGGGACGTCGGAATGGCGAGGACCAACAGACTGCTCAACCGACTTGGCGTGGTTAGTCTGCTGTTATCGAGAAGCTTGTCCAGACCGTTGTCCACGACCTGCAGTCGGTTGATGAGAAAGATGGCTAATCAGCCTAAATTCGCCATGATCCGCAGCCCTAGGCCAGCGGGGAGAGCCGGCCTTTAAGCAGGCCGTCAGCCGTCTCAAACTTGAAGCTGGATATCGCAAAATTTGTTGCGCTAGAACGATGGAGGCCTTCCCAGAAGATATGTTCAACAGGTGGGAGGCGTAGACGTAATAACAGGCGAGACACAACTCGGAGGAAGACCGCATCGCAGGCAGTCGACATCGGCTCCAAACGTGACCTCGCAGCTTCTCCTTGGCCAAGGTCAAAGTAAGATCGAATTTGTGGTTGAGCTAAAAGGATATACGTGGTGCAAGGCTTTTTTCACGCCTTACATTTCACCGGCTTTCGAAGATTCCAAGCTGATGTTGTTCTCAATGCAACTATAATCCAGTTGATTAAAGTCTGTCTTAGCAATCAAGTCCATCCCATCTCGGCTTCGGCTTGGGATAAGGTAAGGTCCGTCACGTCCAGTGTGGCGGAATCGGCTTCGGCTTCTTTTCCGCGGTGACAAACCGTTGACCCGCCCACTCCACTTCAGAACGAATTCTCGATTGGGCAATCGTCTCTCCCAATGAACGTTGCTCTAAAAGCCTGGTGCGGGGCGGCGACATCGGATGCAATCATCGTGATTGGTCAATCCATGACCGCGGGGCAGACAGCGTCGCCCAAGTGCCGTGCCGATGCTCGGGGTGAGGATCCAGTTCTTGAATTTGTGATCCGTTGACTCAGCTAGGGTCTTGATACAACTTCGAGGCTGGGAATCTTAGTTTGGACTTTGGATATAAGACGGCCGAATACATCGTGATAGCAGTTGAGCAGATCAGCAATATCAACTCGTATCTTCACCATGTCGCCCTTCAACTTGGAAGAATGCGCCCGCCCAAACATTTTGGCTCTCGAGCCTTATCGATGCGCCAGAGAGTAAGTCTTGCTCTCCAAACTCACCCTACAGTTGCATGAGATTTGACCGGAAAACTGACACCCCTGACAGCGACTACAAGGATGACGGAACGAACGTCCTTCTCGACGCCAATGAGAATGCCTATGGCCCGTCGCTAGAGTCAAACTTTGAAGCGGGAAATCTGGGCATCGACTTCCTGGGCCTGAACAGGTATCCTGACCCTCACCAGCCCGAACTGAAGCAGCTGCTCTGCAGCCTACGCAACACCCACACCCACACAACCAAGAACCTCGGACCTGAGAATGTCTTCGTTGGCGTCGGCAGTGACGAGGCCATCGATGC